ATAAGGTTTCTTTGTTATTTGCTATAATAACAATCAAGGTATGTAATCCTTAACCCTATTTTGGTCTTTTCGAAAATAGCCTAGTGTTCTTAAGGTTTCCTTTTGATGTTCACAGTTATAGATTCAAAAGAGAAAACATAGATCTTTATTAGGGTTGCATACACACTTAAGAGTTTAAGTTTTTTTTGTTTTGCATAAAACCCATCAGTATGTTGCATGGATTGATGTGATTACATGACTTGACGTGGTGTATGTGTATATTTTGTTTCCATGCATATGTGCTTAAGATTGAATCCTTGTGCTGATGCTGACACTTATTTATCGTCTGTTGTTGTGCCTTTTACATTGGTGTAGGTAGCTTGATATTGATGGCCTGGTGAGGTTGGGATCTTTGGGGAAGTTATAATCTTTTGGATAGTAGTGATGATACCAGTTTGAGACTTCACGTGATGTTTCATTTACACTTGATTTTGATACTTGTTTTGGTTGGGTTTTACAACTTTGGATTTCGATGGATTACTTTTGAAAGATTTTCTAAGAAATACTAGTGATGTTTTATTAATAAGACTCCCACTAACATTTTTCTGATATAAATTAGTTCAAAATAAAAGAAAAAAGTTTTGGGTGAAAATTCATGATGTTTTGTAGTACGTTGTCGGATTTTACTAGATATCATATTTTGTAAGGAGTGATGGGGATTTTGTAGGAAATGAGATGATTTCAAAGTTATATTTCACAAGGGTCTTAGATTTCATGGCCGCAAAATGTTTAAAAATGTTGTCGTTAGAGCATTTCGTTTTGGTTTATAACTAGGGTTAATGTCACTAAAGCCAAACAACCTTTTCCTTTTGGTTACAAAGTATCCCTAAACTAATTTTGTGCATCATAAGGTATAAAAATGAAATCACCTTCTATTGAAGGGAATTGGGTGGTATTTTACTAGTTTCTTGGTTATTCATAACACGATGTGGCAAATAACATGTCTACATAGGCGCCATATGTCAACTGACTTGACATTATTGTGTATAGTCATACGGCTTCTTAAATAAGACTCTTCTTGTGGTTTGGGTTTGAGAGGTGTTTAGGATTGCTTTTTAAAACAACTTATTGACTTATTGGCTTTTTGAAAAGTCAATAAGTAAAAAAAAGTGTTTAGCAATCTTAAAAGCACTTTTTAGTATAGCTTTTCCATTAGCTTCAAAAAGCAGATTTTAAAAAGCATGTAAAACTTAACTTTTTACAAAAATAACTTCAAAAATGATATTTTAAGCCAAACACTTTTTAACTTATTGACTTATTGCTTTTTTCACCATAAAAGCTAATCCAAATACTTTTTGAAAAAATGTCTTTTACCACCACTATAAGTCAATAAACACTTTTGTCTGCAAACACTTTTAGAGTTCAAATAACAATCCAATCACCCCTTGAATAGACCAAAATTAAGTCCTCGTTCTCTTTTTTCTCACTGGTACTTAAAAATCTCATAATGTCATCCTCACATTCATCGCACTCTCACATTTTGTTTCAAAGTATTATGTGTTCAGTGTGAAAAGCTTCATCATATTCCTTCATATCTAACTACAAATACGTTTCAAATTCGCTTTTATGTATATGGCTTTCAAGGTTTAGATTCATGGTGTCATACAAATATGAGTGTATTGTTAGATATATGTAAGGTTTTTTTTATCAAGTATTCTCTTGAATCTTACAAATTACAAATAAAAAATTTAGCTTATTTCTTTGTTACGCAGTTTAAAAGCTATTGGATCAGTACACATTCGTTCGTCATCAATTTCGACCTCAAAATCATTGCACTATTCACGGAATAGCCATTCTTTAACAATCGTATCTCAAAATGCATATCCCATTTTCTTCTAACCGTTGTCTTTTAAAGAACGAGAATCTTGGAAGAAGGAAAACCGTGCTCATCATTTCCTGAATTATCCTAACTCCCTGATAAGTTAAAGTAATCTAGTGCCAAGTGATTATGAATCTGAAAATTTTCGTGTTTGTTTTATAAAACGAAATCCTTAGAATCGGACTAGTAAACCCTAATTTGTGTTTTTATTTTGATTTTATGCAAGCATTGTAAGTACTTCGAGTGGAAAGATCCACCTCTAGAAAAAAGTTACAAGGATACAATCTGGAAGTTAAAAGAACAAATTGAATTGATGGCAAATTTAGTTGAGTTGTCTAGGTTTGAGAGGGAATTACACAAGAGAAGGATACGACGTGTATACTATTACTTACCAGTAATTTTGATGGTGTAAAACCCTAGATACTCTTCGTCTTATTTTAACGAGACAATTTCAAGATATCTGGGACTTGGGAGTATAAATATGGGTAAATTGCAATAAAGTTACTAATTTAATCAAAATTTTCGATTTTAACACCATATTTTTTTTCTTTCAATTAAGTTACTATATTTACAATTTTGTTGCAATATCAACCAAATGACCGGTATCTCATGTTCTCTTGGTAAACATTTTTCCCAAATTGCAATAAAGTCACTAAGTTTACCAAAATTTTGATTTTGACATCATGTTTTGTTTTTCTCAATTATGTCATTACATTTACAATTTTTTTGTAATGTCAACCAATTTGACCGGTTACCATCGATCTAGCAGGTTACCAAATAAATGACATAACAATATTGTGACGTTGAAGCCACATATGATCCTATATGGCAAGATTGAGTTTCAAATATAAGGTAAGCATCGAACCCAATTTAACATATTTTCTTCTCTTCTTTCCGTCAAAGTATTTCTTAACAAATGGCATTTGAAGGTCGATCCAGTGGTTCAGACACACTTAATGAAAGACCCTACAAAATTGATTCACTTTTACCAAAATTTATCATAAGGACATTTTAAAAACAAAATAAATAAATAAATAAAATGAAAAATTGTTTGGGTTTTAATGACGTTGACCCTTGTAATAACTACTTGAAATATTCAAATGTTTAATTGCTTTTCGTATAATTAATTTATCATAAGGACATTTTATAATAACTACTTGTAATATTCAAATGTTTAATTGCTTTTCTTATAATTCTTCATTTAATATAGACAATTATAATCGCATTTGGTATTGCATTATTTTATTAATAAATCGTCCCAAAGAATGAGTTTATATATCATATAATATTTAAATTTATTTTTTTTTCAGAATTCTAGAAGCTAGTTGCATATAAGTTCAATTTCATTAGGCCAATGATAATATTTTCTGGACGCACGTTCTCATGAATAACGACTAAGATATGTTCATTTCATCATCTATAAAATCATAAACAAACCTCCAGGGATCCGAAAAAGCAGAATGGAGAAAACGAAGAAATATTGTTATGGATTTTGTTTATTGAGCTCGATAGTGATCAATATATTATTCAGCATAAACCTGTACGTAGGTGGAGGTGGAGGAGCTTTACAGTGGGGAGAGAAGAAGCATGAGACTGTTTATCGTCCGTCATTGACTTGGAGTGAAAAAGCAGCTGCGGAGGCGGAAGCCGTTGCAGCAATCTCATGTTCCGGGCATGGCAGAGCTTACCTTGATAGTTTGATTTCTTATGGTCAAACTGTTTGTGAGTGCTACGATTGTTATGGTGGTACTGATTGCTCTGAATTCTCTCCCGATTGTTCTGCCGATGCTGGTGGGTGGGTGATTCCTTCATATTCTATTTTCGTTGACTTTAACATGAGTTTGTGATTCAAACTGTTAGTTAAACCAGAAAGCCAGAAAGGATTATAATAAATCTAGTGGTGAATTATTTAAACATGACGATTCATGAAATACTTGTTCTAAAGTTCAAGGTCCAATCCGTTTAATTGTATATGGTTATTCTGCAAACTGCATAGATTTCATGATCAATTGGATTTGTGCATCGGGCTTATCAGAAAGATGAACAAACAAACTTACTAGCTATCGTTTTTGTGCAGTGGGGATCCAATATTTTTGGAACCATTTTGGATGCAAAATGCAGAGAAGAGTGCGATTGTTGTATCAGGATGGCATCGAATGAGTTACAGATACGCTGACTACACTATGATGTCATCGGAGGTGGAAAAATACATCCGCAAATTACATTCCATTGTGGGGAATGCAATCACTGAATATCGATACTTGGTTATCTCAACTCCTTAGTGCAGCTGTTTATGCTCTTTCTTCTGAAAACTCGTCTTCACCTTCCAATGTTGTGGCTACAATCCCATACTATCCGGTAAACAAGTTTTAATCACTATAAAAATCCTATTCCAGATGTATGTTTTTTATGATTTATTGATTGGATTGGTTGTTTGATGATCTACAGATGTATGAGACTCAAACATCTTTTTTTAATTCGGAGGATTTTCAATTTGAAGGAGATACAAACTCATGGAAATTGAATAATGCAACAAAAAACAACATGGATGTGATTGAATTTGTAACCTCACCAAACAATCCAGATGGGGAGTTAAAGACATCGGTTCTTGGAGGGAAGACTATATACGATCATGCATATTTGTGGCCACATTTTACACCGATTCCAGGCCCTTCTGATCATGATCTCATGATCTTTACTCTTTCAAAGCTCACAGGCCATGCTGCTGTGCGTTTTGGGTAAGTTTTATACTAATGTATCTGATATTGGTGCGACATGGTCCTTTATGTCTTTATATATTGGTGCGACATGGTCCTTTATGTCTTTATATATGTTGGGGTCTCTCGTCTCTCTGTAAAGGTTATTTTAAGGAGAAAACTAAGGACTCCACATCTATCTTACATGATATCACAGTCGACGTCTGTACCCACAAGACTTAACACATCATTGTCTAACCTTATTAAGCTTCCATCTGAGGAGGAGTGCTAGTGTTTTGGGTAGGTTTTACGTCCGCGTGTCTTATATTGGTGTGACATGGTCCATTATGTCTCTATACATTGGAGTCTCCCTTTCTCCATAAGGGCTCTTTTGGAGAGTAAACTAAGGACTCCATGCATATCTTACATGGTATCAGAGCCGATTTTGCACCCATGGAACTTAATTAAAACATCATTGTCTGACCTCATCAGGCTTCCCTTTATGTGTTAGAGTGTTAGTGTATCCTACATCGGTAAGACATGGTCTCTTATGTCTTTATATATGTTGGAGTCTCATCTTTCTCCATAAAGACTATTTTCACCCATGGAACTTAATTAACAAGACATGGTCTCTTATGTCTTTATATATGTTGGAGTCTCATCTTTCTCCATAAAGACTATTTTCACCCATGGAACTTAATTAACACATCATTGTCTGACCTCATCGAGCTTCCATTTACGAGTTAGAGTGTTAGTGTATCCTACATCGGTAAGACATGATCTTTTATGTCTTTATATATGTTGGAGTCTCATCGTTCTCCATAAAGACTTTTTGGAGAGTGTTAGTGTATTCCACATTGGTGTGACATGGTCCAATAAATGTTTATATATGTTTGAGTCTTCCCTCTTTCTAAAAGAACCCTTATGAAGATAAGGGATACCACAACATATATAGACACTTATGGGATTGTGTTGCACCAATATGGGATAACTAACACAATGGCATCAGAGTCGGCGTCCCGTGCCCCCTTGGTTTAACACATCCCTATGTATCATTATCGAGCTTCCGAATCTGAGGGGAGTGTTATTGTATCCCACATCGGTGCGATATGGTCCAATAAGTATCGAAGTCTCCCTCTCTCTATATATAAGGGCTCTTTTAAAGAGATAATCTTTGACTCCACATATACCTTACAGATAGTACACAAGGATTCACATATATCCTACATTTTACATATTTTACATATGTTTTTACTTCTTTCTTGTCTTATGGATTTTATATAACGAGATTTTGTCAATACTTCATTATATATAGATGGGCGGTGATAAAAGATAAGGATGTATATGAGAAAGTTTCAAAATATATGGAAGTTGCTGATTTAGGGATTTCAAAGGACACCCAATTAAGAGTTTTGAAGCTTCTAAAAGTAGTCGTTGAAGACGATGGTAAACAACTTTTCAAATTTGCTTATGCTAAAATGAGAGAACGTTGGGATAGGTTGACTTCCGTCTTCTCAAAGTCAACAAGATTTTCAATCCAAGAGAGACACCCTCTCCATTGCAATTTCTTTAACAAAACTAGGCTACCATCTCCTGGTAATATAACCTTTTTTCTTTTTCTTTTTCTTTTTTGTGTTTTGAGTAAGTTTAACTTTATAAATTAGAAGAATACATGACTTGATAATCATTGTAGCTTACGCATGGGTAAAATGTGAGCGAGAAGAAGAGGACGATTGTGGTGCGGTATTAGAAGCTGGAAAAATTGCAAGCCGTGGTGGAAGTACTTACAAGGCCAAAGATCGTTATGCCAGATTAAGTCTTATCAAGAGTCAAGATGACTTTGATTTGCTTCTGCTACGACTCACTGAGTTAATGTCTCTTGAAAATGGTAAAATCGAGTCAATTTGAAGGATTATAGGAATTAAAATTTAAAGAAATTGATATAAAGGGGTTATGCCTATTGACCTTGTGTAAAGTAACCCTCAATGTTTGGGCAATTTTTTTATAATTGGAACATAATTGATTGGTTGATTATAATATGTAAAATTCAACATGTATACAACATGAATTGTATATATGTACACATAATTATATACATGTGTATTAGAACGTGCATGCTTGTTTCTATAAACCAATTTAGATAAAGGGTGTCTTTGGCAAAAATAATTGGTAGCGGTAGCTTGTAGCGGGTGGCAGGTAGCTTCTAGCCGGTAGTGTTTTGTTAAACGTTACGTGAAGTAGCATTTAGATTTGGAGCATTTTGTTTAAAGTAACGCTAGAATCTTGTAGTGGCAAACGAGACTTTCTATTCAAAACGGAGCGTTTTGTCAAACACTAGAAGCTAGAAGCTCTCAAACGCTCCTAAACGCTCTGTGCCGAGCACGCCCAAAGGTGAAAATTGTTTATGTCGCCGAGTGTTATTAACCATTTTTTGGCAAAAAATGAAACTAAATATTAATCGTAATACTTTGTCAAAAGTCCGAGAAAAATTACATAGTCAAGGATTCAACATATATACAATCTAGGACTAATTTGGTATATGTTAGAAACTAGTAAAAAAAAGTCTGGGCTTCTCCCCGGTTGTTTTTTTTTTTTTTTTTTTTTTTTGGAATTGTATATGGTGTATACAATTCAAAGAAAAGTTTTTTTTGGTTGGTGTAGTTACATCCATTCCAATCTACTATTGATAATAGATTAGTATCCAAACAAAACTATTTTTCCATTTCAATTAGGTGTTGATTACATTTAAACCATTAACAAATTACAAATTGAAATATATACATTTATTTCACTTAAAGTTTGAACGTAATGCACCTCCATATCCTAAAAATATACATACTATCATTACAAATTTACTGCAAACGTATAGAGTGAAATAGTGAAACACATGTTTACCTTACCTTCCGTTCACCAACATATATAACATGCAACATATAGATAGTACAACCCCAATTCTCAAAGGCAGATTCCTTTCAGGGTTCTTCATATGTACAGTTCCTCCATAAGACTAGTTTATACGTTTGACAAATAGTCATACATGTAGAAATTTTTAGTGGAGATGGAAGGAGTAGACAGATAATCGTGTACCTCTTCTATTGTGTTGGCAACCGAATCAAACCCGATGTATGAAAAGAAGACAGAAGAAAATACAATAATCCTCCAAGTAGGACCAAAACAGGACAGTGGAGGTGCATTACTGATTATTTTCATGAACATTAAGCATGTAAGTTTCTCCATCCCATATATGTCATGTACAAAATGACATTGTTAATAAACATGAATGCTCTCAAATTGGCAAATCAAATTGAAAAGATAGATTTATTGGAGTCCATGTATTATTTACCTGATTATCTGATTTTTTTTATTGTAAAACCTTTCGCATTCTCCATCCCATTTATGTTGTTATTCTGTAATGAATGTTGTATACGTGTATTGCTAAAGTAATTCAATATGAATATTAACGTTTAATTATTCATATATTCATTAGAATGTTATTATTCTATTATAAATTTATATATGGGCATTTTTTGTAATAAATTCTAATTTTAGTTTCAACATGTGACTATTCATTTATTTATTGCTGAATAATGACATAAAGTTGTAAATACAAAATTCATTGCAGAATAGTAACATAAAAATAGTGTTTTTATGTTCTCACACTATTTATTGTTTTTATTTGAACTATCCCATATATATATATATATATATATATATAGATATATATATATCTATATATATATATATATATAGATATATATATATATATCTTTTTTTGAACGTATTTATATCTTTTTAAGTATTTTGCATATTTTTGATGTATTACGTATTTATGTATTTTTTAAGTGTTTTATATGGATGTTTTTCTATATTTATGTATTTAAATGTATAGACGTATTGTTTTACGTATTATATGGATTTTAAAGTATTTTACATATTTTTTGTGTGTTTGATGTGTTTTTTATGTATTATGTATTTTTCTATTATATGTAGTTATGTATTTTTTAGTTTTCATATATAGATGTTTATGTATTTTTATTTATATTAAATGATTAATGTATTATTTTACGTGATAAACATTTAATATACATAAAAATACATAAACATCTATATAGAAAACACAAAAATTACATAACTACGCAAAAAATACCTATAAAACCTAATACATAAACACACATAAAACACAAAAAAATATGTAAACATACTTAAAAAATACATATAAATACGTTAAACCATACGTTTAAACATTTAAAATACATAAATCTACAAAAAAATCTATATAAAAAACTTTTAAAAATACAAATACGTAATACATAAAAAATATGTAAAATACTTAAAAATAGATATAAATTCGTAAAAAATACGTTTATACACCTAAAATACCAAAACATCTATATAAAGCTTAAAAAATACATAAATACGTAAAAATATATAAAAATACATAATACATAAAAAATAACACATAAAAATACATAAAAAATATGTAAAATGGTTAAAAATACATATAAATAAGTAAAAAATACGTTTATACATTTAAAATACATAAAAATACGTAAATATATACATATAAAGACATAAAAAAAATACAAAAATACATAAAAATAGATATAGATATGTATAAAATATGTTTATACATTATATAAAAATTTTGACGAAATCTGCAAAAAAGTTCCATTATTTTCGAAAAATTAACAATTTGGTCCCATGACCTGCTGAACAGGTCAAAAAGGGCTAAAGTGAATAAATTAGCCGGTTTCTTGGGCTTTTTTATTTAAAAGGTGAAAATGTCAGGACTTTTTTATTCAAAAAATAAAATTTAGGACTTTATTAAAAATTTGTCCAAAATTTAGAAACGTGTTATATAATCGGTTCACAGTTTTCTAATGTTTAATGTCAAGAAGGCAAATCTTTTAGAAAATAACTAAGCACACACCCCCATTAGCATCAACGTTTCCCTATTCATTTCTCTGCATCCCAAGAACATAAACAAACCAGGGATTCGCAAGCGTAGAATGCAGAAAACGAAGAAATATTGTTATGGATTTTGCTTTTTGAGTTCGATCGTTATTAACATAATAGTCAGCATAAATCTGTATATAGGTGGAGGTGGATAAGCTTTACGGTGCATAGAGCAGAAGCAAGGAGACTGGTCATAGTCCACCGTTAACTAGGAGGGAAAAAGCAGTTGCGGTTGCGGCAATCTTTTGTTACGGCCGTTGTAGAACTTACCTTGGTGGTTCGATTTTCGATGATTAACATGTGGAAGCCGGTTTATTGTTTTTTTATTACTTGGGGCGAGATAAAAAAAATTGACGTTATATATGTACCGTACGATAGAGAAAACGTATATACAAAAAATTTATAAAATCAAAAATATAGTAAATTTTATAATTAATACAAATAATACAAATAAAAACCTGCATAAATCACCTACAACGATGTCTTCGTATATTTTTTGAAGCGAAAACGATCTCTTAGTTTACAGTAATCAATATTTTGTAAAAATTCACTTTAGATAATTAAAATTGATATTCCATTCAATCTTTTTTGAGTCATGATACTTCGGATATGCGATTTCAAAAGCTTCAATTTTAAAAAACTTTTTTCCGCGGAAGCAACCGTAACAGGCACCGTCAATAATATTTTACATGCAACCAACACATTACGGAACATATTCATTCTTCTTGCATACTCTAATTATTTGAATAGATGTCCAAGAACTTCCACCTTTGAATATGATATTTAGTTCATCCGACAATATTTTCTGCAAAATTTATCTTAATAAATAAACTAATTTCATCAATATCATATTCTTCACCATTTGTAAAATTTGACTCAAGATTTAAACAATATTTTTTTAACTCATCATTAACTAAAGAAACTAACTTGGAGCCATCAAACAAAAAACCAATGATAGATTCAAAATATTGCATTTGTTCAAACCTAATTTTCAATTAAACAAGAGTTATATCTTCAAAAATAATAAAATAATCTTTTTAAATACTTCTTGAAAAGATTAGTGTTTTGTTTCGGCATTTGGAATTTCATTAAATTGTTTTTTTCTATTATAAATACATTTTTTACGAAGTTCATGTTCAACTCCAATATTATTTGTTATTTCTTTCGCTTCACTAATAGCAAAGTCGAACTCATTTTCCTTATATCCTTCAAAAATAAATAATCAATCTAATTTTTTTACCGCAACATCAAGAAGCATTTTTTTAGACTCAAATTTTTACTTACCAAATTAATTGTATACAAAATTTCATACCATATAATTAAACTTAAGATAAATTCAAAACTAGCAAGTTCACCAATTACTAGTGATTCAACATCTCTACATATTTTTTCAGCATCACGTATTGTAGATAATTTTATTAAAGCTTCTCTTATGTGGGAAAACTATGTTTGGTAATTTAAAATGTTACCAATTGAATTCGAGGTCATGAGTGCATTACCCATTGAAGTCTAGCTTGGTGGTTAAGAGTGTTACTCATTGAAGTCGAGGTCATGAGTTCGATTCGTGCTTACCCTTTTTAGACTTCATTTTTCAATAAAACATACAAAGTTGACTTGGCATGTATTGTCAGCTACCACGTCAGTAATTTTCGCCAAGTCAAATACCACATCAATGCTTACCATTTCAGTATGTTAAAAAGGATCAAATTGATTACATTAGCTGGTATTCTGTCATTTTTTGTTAAAAAAAAATAATTTAGAACTAAATTATAAACTAGACCAAAACTTTGAGACTTTTTCGAAGATTTCTCATAAATTAAAACAAAAAAACTTATCAAAAAATGTTTATTACCGACATCAACTGGAATAAGCTACTAAGCACTCAAAAAAAAAATTACAACCTAAACACTTAAAAATATGTATTATTAATATCAAACAAAAATAAACTAATAAATACTATAATTAAACAATATCAAACAACCCTAAAACGGATCAAAGGTTAAAGGGACAAACTGAAAATCAAAATTGATAATTTTATATGGGAAATTAAGTAATCTAACTTTTATAAATGATGTTTTTAAATAAAATAACTAATTTTTTCAGTTTTTGAAAAATAACTACTTTATTC